GCCTTCACTTGTATCTTTGACGAGTAGTAGTAGTATGGTGTTAAAAATGGCAAGACGCACTGACGATGTCAGCGAAACGTCTGGGAATGTACCACGTCCATGATCCGACTTTGGAAATTATCATCCATACAATGGACTCCGGAGAAGCTGTGTTCCTCTAAGTCGTCCTGCCAATATGGCCAAGTTGCGAAGACAAGGTCAAACAAATTCTATATAACGAAAGGAGACTTCGACCACACAAAAGGCCAAACTATCTTGGTCTTCATACCTAAGATTTAATATGGGTCATTTAAAATGATTAAGATGTTAGTTTGCACCCACCCAGAATGGCATTAGTAATATCAAATTCGTTAGGTTTGGGAATAAATTTCGGCTCTAGAAAAAATTGCCACCTTGGGAAAGATGTTAAACAGCCGTTTATTTCATCCTTAACAATAATCAGCCGTATGAATCAGTATATCCGTATGTATGTAGGTAGGTAGTATAGACAAAGACTAGGAAATAAGGACCCCACATTTGAAAAAGCTCGAGCCAACGCACTGGCCATTTGGGCTCGAATTACAAAGCCTAACCAAGAAAAGTAAATATGAAAGTTTTAATGTTACCTAGCATGAAATCGTCTTTATTGAAGCACAAATACTATCATAAATAAAAACTCAAATGCCAAATCGTTTTAAGAGTTCCTACCACGGAGTTATAACCTCCGTGGTCACCAGCTCATTTTTAATCAAAATAATTACCTTTATCAAGAATAAAAAGCAGCCCTTTCTAATTTTTATTGTGTTTTAGCCAAATAAACAGAATTTCACTTTATTTTGCCTGATATCTTAGTGTTTATAAACTTAATTTGATATCAGAAGTGTCTTTACTGACAAATAGGAGCAATCTTCTTTGCAAAAAAGCCTCCCTTATGCAAAATAACCAAGTTGAGATATGTGTTCCTAAATCTTTATGAACCTAGTATATGGGCCACTTTTTAAGGAATAATTTTAGTGAAAAATCTTCGTGCATATTCCTATAACTCCAATGAGCTCGTATTTTGCTTTCACTAAAAAGGCAAGAAACCATACTTGAAAACGTCTCTTCCAATCCACCAGTTACAGAGCGGCATACCAATCATTTTCTTTTATTAACCACAATCATTTCATAAGTTAAAAAGGTTGAAAATAAAATCTTAAAGGATTCCATTATATTATGTCCATAAATGCCTAGGCTAAAATATTTAGCTTACTTTCATTTCGACTGAAAGTGTTTGGTGAACCGTTAGCTTGAATATAGTTGTAAGGATGATACCTTGCTTTGATGATGTTTTTCATACGACGGAAGGAAGCATAGCACGTCTTTACCATAGATTACTTTGGAAACAGCGTCAACAAGAATTTTCCAGTGAAGCCAATCTACAGCTAGCCAAGAGGGATCTACCGTCGTTTTCAGGTCGGAGCGACCTTCGAATCTCTTCACCAAACAGTTTAGCTCAAAATCGAAATAAGTTCAGCAATTATGAAACAAAAAATTCCTCGAAACCAAACTTTTCTTCCCATAAAATGTTTAAAACAAAGAGCGATGGCTCAGTACTAATTAATAGCTAAAACTCACCAGTGCATGGAATCGGCGGCGCGGTGCTCAAAACCGTCCGGAAAGGTGGCTTCGTGTATCAGGAGATCACAGTCACTGCCAGAAGAAGCCAAAAGTTGGCACGGCATACTGTCACCAGAGTAAACGAGACGCCAATGGCTTCTCTGATCAGCCTCGAACTCTTCTTGTGCGTCGCGCCGAGGAACAGGATTAAGGGAATCACTGGTACTAGTGATCTTTGAAAAGGTCAAGGCCGAATTAGTTGGAATATGACGACGAACCTTAAGCACGAAGCCATGGGCATCAGCTTGATGTAGCACAGGAACTGGCAAGATCTATGGAATAATAGTTAATTGAAATTAAAATCGGCTATGGTTGAGACGAGGAAGGAACAGGCAGAAATCAGGTGTAGATTGTGCCGATTGTGCACGTAAGGTAAGCTAACGAATCGTACAACCTAAAGTGATTCAGCCCTCTAATGGTTAATTAGCACAGAGCACAAGCAAACATGGAAACGAAAAAATTACTTAGAATTAAAAATGCATTAAATAGACCTAGACGAGCTAATTCAATAATTTGCAAACATGGGTTGGAGCCTATTTGCTAGAATAAAGGAAGTATGGTCAAATATTTAGGTCCAGTATGACTCTCGAAAAGAGGCTTGAGGTATGGTATAAGTTGGACTAGGTTATCATACGCCCTTATTAAGCCAAGTAAGCCAAAGCTGTCATCCTAAGAAAGCTGGAATTGCCTCCGACACACAATCATAGCAGATAAAAGAGCAAAGTATATAAAGACTAAAATTAAATAGTCAGCAATTAGATGAAAGCAAAGTAATAACCAAACAAAGAGGTATAATACTAATATTGAATTTGCCCGCAACGAAACTCATCAAATTAAATCATATCATAATAAAGCAGAATATCTCAATATAAATTTTTTATTCCAATACGATCAAGAGATATTATTTACCTCCATATGCAAATTGATGAGTAAGTTATTCCAATCATTAGACTTGGAGTCGGCGATCACAACACGTGAGTTGATAGGGGATCCGTATGTTTGACGAATAAGATGAACTTCGATTGGCACATCACCCGGATAGAGCTTCTCAAGATTGGCCAACCAGATGGAGATCGAATCAGGCGCCAGTATTGGCAATTTAGAAGGCTCTAGAGACGACCCATCGAAGGTGTGTAGAGCATGGGAGCGAGCGATTGCTACCTGAGGAATACCCTAAGAAAATATTGATTAAATGAAGGCAGAGGCTCGCAAATCATGAATACAAAAGCCATAGCAATAGAAACTAATGTAACGGTGCCTAAATATAGACCCTTTATAATCAAAAGCGGTCACTGTAATAATACTAAGGG